AGTATAAGTTAAATATATTTAATATTACATAGAAAGTACCACATATTACTCTCAATGATGAGAAGAAATTACTAATGTTAAATATAACAAAAAATGGAGGCTCACTACCACTAGCATTCCGCAGTTGGGATAGTTATCTCAATCCAACACTAGCAGAAGGCACTCATCATGTGTGGAATGTAAAACTTGCAGCCAATAGAGAACGCTATAAAAGCCTCTATAGTGGATAATAAATTGATTCAAAATCAATTGCGAAACTTGAAAGTGTACTTGAACTCTGAAACATATCCCTATGATGATATGAATATAAATTTTAAATTTTAATCGTGAACGATTTGCAACTTTGTATGATATGTATGCAAATTTCCAAGCAAGTTACTATATGAAGCAGTCTGAACCGTTGTTAACACCTAAGGAATTTAAGGAAAAATCACCGATTGTTGTTATAGATCTAACACATCAACCATGATATTCATTACCTTATAAGACGACCATTTGATTTTCTTAGACTAACGAAGAGGGCTCGTAAAACTGCAATATGGTTAACTAGAAATCAGAACAATCTCTGTTGGAATGTTGGTAATGATAGCTTTTTAGAAGTCAGAAACTATCTTCGTGAGCTTCTAAAGGATATGAGAGTAATCACAAAGGAATATACAAAGAAAAAGTTTCTTGAAAAGTTTCTAAAGACGTGTGTAATCAACATTGAAGACTTTGGATGTCCACGATTAGATGCGATGAAATTAAATGTTTTCTCCGATTGTGGGTCCCATCTAAATAAAGGAGTATGTGCCCTAACAAACGCACGAGTTGTATTAGATTTTATTATAATCTGTAATTTAAATGTGATTTTAGCCCATTGGCTAAATTGAACAAAGCAAACTCGATATATAGAATTTTATAAATTTTATAGTTTGTTTATATTTAGGAACATAATGGTTCAATCAAATTTTAATTTCCATATATTTCAAAATAAGAGTTTTCTAAGATTACAAATAGTTTAAATAAATTGTTTAGAGCACATTGGTTTGTTATTTTCTTATGTATTCTACAATTTGTGAAAAAGTTTTGAAAGTGTCTTAATTTTTGATCTAGTTCTAAGTCAACTATTTTTGTAGTTAAATATTTACTTAAAAACTGTTTCTTTGCTCACCCTCGTACAATAACTGTAGCGAAACTATTTAATGGACTTAATATATCACCAAGGCTTAAATAAGAAATGTCGCCATCACACCAATCCAATCCATCGACATACTGTTTAGTTGTTTTTAGGGTTTTTCTTGTTATTTCATCCAGCTCTTTTATATCATAAGGAGGCTTGAAGTGAAAGAAATTCGGAAGGATTGATCCGGCTTGCATGAAGGCCAATTCTTTTACAAAAATTTGTCTATCGTTTCCAAATATATACTGAAAGTAAAGAAGAACACACGAGCTCCTGTCTATCTTAATCATTTTGCGTCTAATGTGTATAATGTACTGGGAAGCATGTGCAAGACTCTTCACCTTAAATAGCGTTCACAATTCAATTCCCAAGTTAGTTTGAGACAACTTTTCAATCGATATGGACACACTTCAGCTAAGAAAATCCAGAAATTCAAGAAAAATTCAAGATCACGAAATCATTTTTGGTTTCGAGTATTTTGTTAATCTACAACTAAAATTAAAGTGTGGCTTTTCAACAACGAGACGATTTACACCAATGGTTTGGATGCAGCAGCATAAACGTAATTTCATTGGATTTGGAAAAGAGGAATGGATTCAATTACTGACGTTTAAGGAATATATCCAGTTAAGGCTTGAGCAGTTTGAGTTCTTGATGCCTGATGGACTAATTGATAATCCCAAGATTGAGAGCATAAAGTGTCATTTTAAGATTAGAAAATCCGATAAGCAATGCATATTAATTTTATATCAATACGGAAATAAAATTGAATTTGATAGTGAATCATGGAGAGCCTTCATAAGATTAGGGATATTTTCCACGTCATTTTTATGTTGGAACACACTGCTTAAAAATCAAATTTGTAATATATATAATAATTATATTATCCCAAAATGTTCAAAGATGGGGAAATATGATGTACAACTTTTAGATTTAAATGTGTCTTATGGACATGAAGCAGAAATTGATTTAACACGCTTATGCTTTGAAATTTCAAGAAAAATGGGAAAAGAAATAAAAAAAGATGTAAACCAGTATAGACAAGTATTACAAAAGAAAGTTCCACAAGTATAGACACTTTATAAATAAAGTAAAATAATTCTTCAGTTGCATTTCTGCTTTTGGAGAATCGCGGACAGCGATAATACAACTTTTGCCTTGTCAAAATTATAAGGAATGTGCCGCAATTGCCGTGTAATATTATTAAGTCCCAATTCCCCTCTTAGAGCACTTTGTATTAAAGTCCAAGTCAACCCCACACCAGCGAAACGTGTGTTAGCGCAGTCGCTTCAAGTGTGGTGGTGGAAAACCGCCAATTCAAAGATCATTGGAATTAAATTTGGCGCCCTCCCCTCACCGTGCCATCTCTGGGCCTTCTTAATTGGGACACAATTGTCATTGGGAGTACGCGCGCCCATCGGCAACACTTGCTGTGAAAGTTCGGCTGCGTTAGCGCAAAGCCTTGGGCCGAAGTTTCAGTGCATCGCAACCCGCCGCTGCGCTCTCAATTTTTTTTCTGTGGGTAATTCGGTTCTAATTTTTTTTGTGTGCCCAAAAAACTAAACTAATTTCGACATTCAAATTACGTATAAGTGCTTGTCCCTCAAACATTCTGCAGACGCAGAAGTTATCGCAATTCAAATCGCTGCAGCATAAGCGCTGTTTGAAGTGAGTTTTGCGGTTGTTGTTGTGACAGCAAAATCTTTTACTGTAAAAAATTTATCCATTATTTTTATTATTATTTATTAAGCCTTTGCCTAAAATACACACATACACACACCACCCCATACATACAAGCATCGATGGAAAGCTTTCATACGTTGTGCATATGGAAGTGTAAAATTCTTTATCTGTTACTTGTGCTTTTCGTAAGCTGAGCTTATCTGACATGCTGTACCGATAAAGCTTTCTGCACGTGTGATCACCTCCACACGTAGGCGAAAGAAGATAGTATGTCAGATGAGCGCAAGCTTAATTTGATTTAACTGATTGTTTAACTATTATTCTTGCCCACAAACCAGAGAGAAAAATAGATTTAAAAAAATATAATAATATCTAATACAAAAAATAAAAATAATAATAAAACAATAATAAATAAGTGCAAAAAAACCGTTTTACCAGTAACTATGTTCTGTACCTCTACAGCACATCCAACAACCACTTAAACATTCTTTTAAGCGTGTGCAGCGCGAACAGCTGTTTTATTGCCAGCTTCGCACACTGACCTGCGAAGTACAGTGGCTGCAATGATGGTTCGCCCACTTGTACTGTTCTTTTTTTACAAACAAATTTTTGTCTTTAATTTAAATAATTAAAATTCAATTCTTAATAGTTTTTTTCTTGATGTTTTTTTGTTTTATTAATTTATATAATTAATAATTCTAGATCAATTAATTTCTATAAATTAGATTTTGTCATTAATTCAATAAATTATTATTTTTTAATTGAAATAATATAATAATTAAGTAAAGTCCTAAAAAATAATGTTTTCCCTACTGAGACTCAGCAACAACCCACCCACCCCGAAAGAGCTATGGTCCAAAGGATTCCGCCCGCCTTGTCCCTCAGTAGAAATAAACGTTCTCCAGATAAGAAAAAAAAAAATGTTTTTCATAAGCGCACGGTTCCAGCGAGGTCTTGTTGCGGTCAAACTGTCAAGGTTATTGCAAGAAAGAAGTCGTGTACTTTGCAAATCGACAGTGAATAAAACATAAAAAAATATTATTGAAAAAGTGCGGTAGAGAATAAAAGGTATGTTACAGCAATTGGTGAAAGAAAAAAATTTGATCGAACCAATTCCAACCGTTATAGGCCATTCCCGGGGAAAGGACCAGACCTGCCATCAGTTCGAGCCAGCTGCACGCCTTAATAATTTACACCGCGGGAATAATTTAACCCGACAAAGTTGCAATTAGTCGGCCCTATTTCATTGAATCGACTTCGGAAGCGTCGCTAGTCAGCGGGACCGAAGTGCGGAACTGTGTTTAACCCAACAGGGCAACTTTATCCCACGGATCCCGATTCAGCGCATATTCGCTATTGTCCAGGAGACAATAAATAGTTTGAAATCAAATAATTCCGAGTTATTATCAGCTAGTGCCAGATGATCTTAAAAGTTAATCCATGAAAATGTGAATGATCAGTCAGCTACGTTGCGCACGCGCCTACTTACAAACACACGTAATTTTTGAGCTAAGTGCTTATCAGCTTTTGTGTTTTGTATAAGCAAGGATAAACAGATCATAAAACTTAAGCAGACCATAAAATTTGAACAGATTATAAAGTTTGAGCAGATCATAAATCTTCTGATAAATTCAACATAGTCAACAAGCTCAACTCGTAATTGGCGAAATGCACCAAATTACTTTGAGTGTATCACGTAATCGCTAATAGTAAGAAATATAATTGTTGGAGTTTTTTATTATTATTAATATGGTCATTGTCGTATAATTTGATAAATATGTCATTGTAAGAAGAAGTAGTTGATGCATGGATAGTTAACAATACACTGTCTGATATTAAATCAAACGGATAGTCAAATCTTCATCTCTGCGTCGACAAACATTGAGCCCAACGATCACATCGACTTCAAAAAAAAAAAAAAAAAAAAAAAAAAAAACGTAGGGTGAGTAAAGAACTAGCTATAATTTAGGTACATAAACAATTAGATATGTACGACCTACTTAGTAAATAAGGGAAACAATATACATATATATATATATATAAAAAAAGGACACAGCCAAAAACGCTATGTAACGTCCATTACCTAAAAACTTATTTCAATATATATATAAGCCTTAAATATAAGTAATGCATTCTAAAGTTGACTTTGAGTGTGAAGCCATATAGAAATGCTGAGAAAATAACGAAGCTTAAATTGAATAATGATAATAAGTAAAAAAAAAAGAAGAAGAAGAATCTATATGTCATATGATGAAAGAATGTCTAATTATGAATTAACAAACAAAACAAAAAAAAGAAAGAAAATGTACTCATAGATTATAGTTCGATTATATAATAGAAAATAGAATTAAGAGTAATGTTCACAACCTACCGAATTAAGTTAAGGAAGAATATGTGAATTTGAAAGCAATTTAAATGAGGTGCTGAGGAGTAGTATTCGTCTGTCGCGTATCCATGTTAAGTTTTTACAGAATGTGGTAGGATTTTAAGAGTCCGTCCAAGGGATAATGTAACAAAATTGATATCATTATCATGGTAGGGTGGGTAGAGAAGAGGGACAACTACCATCTATGTTCCCTCCAACAGGACTAGTGTCTCAGTATAGTTATAGGAAGTGTCGGCGTCTCCAATAATTGATAATTAAATTTCAGTAACTCAAGTTGTTACTTGTTTTGTAAACGCGCACTAATTAAATGTGGCAGAGTACATCCGTATTGATTGAGTGAGAAAGAACCCCGACAATCCGGCGAGCCAGGACGAGCATAGCGAGAGTGCGCATATCGAGCTCAACAACACACCGGTCGCTTAAATTGGCAGTTCCATCAGCCAATAATTAGTAAATACTACATAAGTTACCCGATAGAAAATATCTTATTCAAAAAGAAACAATACCCTGGTAGTCTACAAACCTTAATACCCAAATACGGAAAACAGTCGCTTTATACACGTGGAGGAAATCGGTTGGGCTCAAATGGGGTATGTCCGCAAATTTTGTTCGATGGGTGTACACATCTATTGTCAGACAAATACTTCTTTATGGTGTAGAGGCTTTGCCTGAAAAAGCAAACCACCCAAAATCAAATCAACAAAGTTCAGCGCATGGCTGAATTGCGCATCTCTGGGGCTCTTCGAACCACACCAAGTGGGGCAATAAACGCTGTCCTGGACATTCCATGTCTGGAAAAACAAGGAATGGAAAATGAAACTGAGAATATCCTTAGTCTGGATTACTAAAAAAATGCCATGTATCTACCTTAGAAAGGAATTAAAATCATCCCTTCGAAAACAGACTACTGCGTGCCAGTATACAACTAGAAACACCCTTCAGTATATAGTTTTGGTAACAAGTTGTCGCAAATCTCTGCATGATATGGCTAAGCAGCATGTTATTAGCCTGATATGGGTCACCAGGCCATTGAAAGCAACTGTAAAGCTAATGAACTACCTGGGAAAGGAACTCCATTACTCCTCCTCACGGATAAGGAACCAGGCATCGGCGGTACCTATAAGCTCAATATCAGGAAGAAAGTACACGCAAGTCAAATGATAAATGGCGAAATGCCAACTGCGGTCGCACAGAACACCAAACATGGCCCAATATCAACACAAAATACTGTAGAGAGCTGTGTAATCTCAGTTACACGAACTGCTCTGCAGTAATCCGTGCTACAACAGGACACTGGGTAGTCGGCATCCATGCCAATAGACTCGAGGTGCCGTATGACTTCTGCAGAAGCTGTAAAGAAGAGGAAGAAATAGAATCTCCAGAACACTTCTTCGCAGCGGTAGGACAAATGCTGACTCATATCCCTGAGGATTCCAAATTAAAAGAAATATTCGAATTTTCTTCTTAAAAATAATTTGTATACTAATTGAAATTAATAAACATAATAAAATTATAAAATAATAAATCATAAGCTATATAAAAACAAATAATTTAATCTGAAAAAGGATATACAAAATATATATGTAGATAAATATTAAAATCTGAAAAGAAAATAAAAGGGTATCTGAAAGCAAAAAAAATATAATAAACAAAAGAAAATATATTAAGCCTGAAAAGAAATGATATCTGGGAAAGAAATATATATAACATAGAAACATAAAATAAGAGCCCCAAAGGCGGCCTCAAACGGCTAAAAACCACTGCGTGCCTGATCGCGGAAAAAAAAAGTGCGAAAGAGAAATTTGCTCAACACGCGACGAGAGCAAGAGAGACGGCATGCAAAGAACACGCGAATTGCCATGACCTACACTAAAGCAGACGCGTAATTGTACTAAGACGTCGACAGTCGTTCGAAAACTCTTAGTCACACGCTTGCGCACCAAAAACTGCAACAACAAAACTATCACTTAGCGACGCGCTTGCACTCATAAAAAAGGAACCGTTGGTTAATCACATTAGTGCACATGCGTGCTCATGTGTGCGCACAAAAGGACACCGTTGGTTAACCACTCACACCAGTACACATGCGTGTGCACTTGCAAAAAAATGATGAGAGACGACACTTCGGGTATCCCTAACACGTACACAAAGGACACTCGCGATCGGCACACACACACACGCCCCAAAAGGGATATAAGGGGCTTAAGCAGCCACTCGCTCGGCCTATTTGGAAATTTCACTGACAACAAAAAAGTTTTAAGAAAATATGGAGAATTTGAATGATAGCGGTAGCGGATCAGTGCAGGGTCATCGTCGCGCATCGGCCTCAAATCCTCGGTCAAGAGCCAGCGACGAAGCTGAAGTCTTGAGGGAATCAGGAGCAGATGCAAAGGCACGCACGGTGGCCAGGCGTCGGTTGTTACGCTCACCGGGCGACTCGTACGCATAGTGCGGCCGTCACGACATGTGGCGCGCCCATCTGCTCAGCGATTGGTGCAGCGAGAGCGGCAAAACCATCGCCCCTCCTCCGCGACTCCAGCGAGGATCAAATGGAGGAGCCAGCGAGTCATGCGTACGCGGAGCACTGAATTGCCCGGCGTGCATCGAGGAGAGAGAAGATATGCAGTCGTCGAGGCTGCGAAAGAGACGCTATCCGAGCGAACTAGACGACGTGATCTTGGAGGGGATACTGTGGCAGTATCCGGAGCTGACACACGCTCGGAATCCGCTGATGAAGGCGGGGCCAATAGACGCTCACCGGAGTCGCCAGCAGTGTCACCGGATGATGAGGACACCATGCCGTTTGAGCTGTCATCTTGTCCAGTGACGAGGACGATGATCGCGGGACACGAGACGACAGCGGAGGAGCCTAGGTACAGGAAAAAGAGCAGCAGCAGCAAAATCTCATGATGATGGCCAGCCGCAATCGGAATAACGCCGCTGGCCACTGGTAGCACACCGTCACAGTGGTGTGCGAGTGGCACGAGGACGTCAAGCTGTCACCATCTTGGCAACTGGATGAGAAGAGGCCGCCAAACTGCCTTTGAAGCCCGAAGCCGAAAGCGGGTGGTAGGAGTTGCTACCGACGGCTTGGCCACGCGGCATTCTAGAGGGCGCAGTAACACGCCGTCGCAGCTCCAATATCGTATAGTAGGATGGACGCCGCTTCAGGGTGAAAGCATGCGGACGGGCATACGTGTTTTTATATCCATATAGAAAAAAGAAACAAAACAGCACTTATTACATGTAATAAACAAAAGTCAAAGAAAAAGAAATATGATGATACTTACCTAGTCATTGGGAATGGCCTTGCGGCATAGCTGCAGATTTAAAACAAAGAGATATCAATATGGGAACAAGGAACAGCAAAAACAAGAAAACTATTGCTTTTATCCATTTTTAGCAAACATAAAATGAAAGAGAAACAAAACAGAAAATAGTGATGGAAATTGTCGCGATCGGTGGCCAACCGATGGCTTATCGATTGTACACGCGATATATCGATCGGTGGCAAACCGATATTTAGCATTCGATCGCTGATGAGCCGATTGTTGGTGATACCCACACTTACTGCACAACATCACTGCAATGAGTCGTTCGACGTCATGCTCAGGAACGTAACGGCCATTGGATAGCGCGGACTCAAAGAAAACGAACGCGGCAAAGGCTAATATTTGAAAGTAGAAGTCTTCCCCTGACGAAAAATAGAGTGTGAAGAGCCATATAACCATTTAAATATGGATATATATTTAGTACACATAATAAATACACATATATACGAACGTTTGCATATATGCATATATGTATATATGTATAAATGTATAAAAAAAACATAAGAAAATACTCGTATGTTTCCAAATATGTTATATGCGCTCCTCACAGTAACTGTCTATTAGGCCGAAATTCGGCCCTGATGCAGTTGCGGCAAACTCGCTCTCTTTCGCTTTCTCCCTTTCTAACGCAAGTAGTCAGCCATTTGAGCGTGTCTGACACACTTGTCCATCAGGACATGTGCCGTTAGTGTGTGAGGATTATTGTGGATACAATATTGCTGTCCATACTCACATTAGCGGTAGATAACGGCTGGCGCCAGCAACTAACAGTGGAAAATTACCAAAAGATCACACCACCTTAGTACAGTCTCGTCAAAAGCTGATTAATGAAGGGTGTAAAAGGAGCATTGCAGCACGAGATAGAGAGTCTGTGCGAATTTATAAAGCGAGTCGGCTGTGCAGTGAGCAAAGTGCGAATTAACACATTAAAATCTATGTGTGCGCGTATTACGAGTGTAGATCAATTTAAACAAGTGTTTTATACATTCAGAATCAAATGGCGTCCAAGAACTTGACGCTACCAAATTACAAGCATAACGCAGGACATTGAAGTCATGGAACTAGGTGAGAGGCATACATATATCCTTGCTACGCTAGATAAGCGAATCAAGCGAAACTTGGCGTGCGGTTAGGCAGAGAGTGTGACAAGCGAAATCAAGGGGACCGCTAGTCCTGGTGTGCGTAACTGGCGGGTGGGGTGCCTGAGGCAGACTCTACAGCACAAATCAAAATTAATAAGGGACATCGATTCGTGACACCACGGAGCAATCGGTCAACCTCATAGTAATTAATACGTGCAGCATCGAATAAATGGCATTTTATCAATTAATAAGTGCCGCAGTGAATAAGCGACATTGTAACAAAGTGCGAAAAGTTTTGACCTAGCTAAATACCCAAGAACCAAAGATTCGTTGCACCAAAAACATACAATAATTAACAAACACAAATATAAATGTAGGAATGGGAATAGAGCAAGAGAGACGAGAGCAGAAAGAAACACGAATTGGTCACTGTTATTAAAGGACAAGTAGAAATTGAGAGCGCAAAGAGAGAATGGGTGCGAGTTATTCGATTCCAAGATTTCGTCAGAAAAGCACGCAAATTTAAGTTACGCAACCAACTCATTAAATTCGTAAGATCACACAAAAAAATATATACTGAAGTGAATGTTATTATTTAAGAAACCCGATAGTAAAATTAAATAAACAATTATAGTAATAAATGTCATTCCTGAGTTATTTACTGGTAGTGAAGACATATACCATTATTTACTATTTTTGGTATACATATTCATATACTATTGTTTTATCTATAAGAAATCTGTAAAATTTTTGAAAGCCCATGACCAACTTATACAAATGCCTTTAAGCCACACTCTTATACTCATGCCGAACCGCCACCACGGCTTCAGCTGAAAGGTTTCGCTTGAAGTTGCAGGTGTTCACCAGCAGTAAGCGGACAATTTTGAAAACTTAAAACTATGTATTTACATTTACCAAATAAAATTACATGAATAAATAAAAATACAATTCAATAAATGAAATAATTACCTAAGTAAATAATAATAGATTTCAATAAATTAAATAATATTACTAATTAAATAAAAATAAAACGAACAGATTGAATATAATTATTTAATTAAATAAAATTACATAAATACAAATAATATTTTTAGCTAAATTAATAACCATATGTGAAAATAATATGTCGCACTTGCATATGACTAGTTTTCGTTGATTTTGTTCTAAGCATAATATCCCAATGATATTGTTCCTGAAAAGTATGAAACGAAGTTGTGCACTGTTGAAGGGATTGCGGAAGTGCTAAATTTTAAATTTTACTGCATTTGTTTTGTTCGATAATGTCGATCGCTGGCGATAAAATTTGATTCAGTTTCGTAGCACCCACCCTTCAGTGACCTTATTAGAAATGTTGCTGAGCTCGGTCACTTGGCTCTCCCGACAAAAGAAGCAGCAATTCAAAATTCGAAAAAGAAAAGCTTTTTTTTCCGGCGAAGGCAGGCTTCAGGCTTTCGCCTCGTGGTTTTAGAAGTTCGCATCCTCCACGTCGGTTAGCTCGATTGCTAAACGTGAGAGGTTAAATCCGTGCGCCTTTCAATTATTCCATATTTTTGGGCAGTAAGACCTGGCCGCGACCACCAGCACAGGAAA